GCCCGCGCCTGCGCCGACCCCGACGCCGACGCCGACCCCTTCCCCGACGCCGACGCCGACCCCTTCCCCTGCTTATCCTTTTTGTCGGGGTCTTCCATGAATTGACGAACGTCAATCGTGATGTGCACGTGGCCGGGGTACGTGTGCTTCAAGTGGCCGGGCATCACGCTCCGGCCCTTTCCGCCACTGCCTTCGCATTGGCGCCCAAAGGCCAAAACCGTAGTAGGATAAGAATGTAGTTGTTGCTTAGAAAAGTACAATATGATGCTTATCATCCGCACAAGTCTCCGCATTAGTATTGTTATTACTAGAACTATTAATAATCAATTTATAGACTGTATACTATTAATTATTAGTCATTAATCAAATAGCTGACCAGATTCGTTCTTAAATACTAAATCAATCAGGGCACCGATCGCCCGGTACTCGTGCTCTGCCCCCCAGGCGATGAGCAGCGAGCCCGCCGGCGACGGCGGCACGTTCGGCAACGCCGGCGGCATGGCTAGAGCACCGAGTCACCTAGCCTACGCCTACGCCTACGCCTGCCTGCGCCTGCAATCGCCTAGAAAGCTGTGACTGTGACAGTGAGTGCAAGTAAGTAAGTTTAAGTGTAAATCATCGCAAGTCGCCTAAGGCCTAGTATCGCTCATCCCCTATGCCCATGAACCTAGGAACTGAAATAAAACATCTAAGTTAAGTCTAATAATTAAACTGGAAACATGACATGTACGTGGTCCTAAGGGCTGACGCTGAAACCGCTGAAATGTTACGGAAACCGCACATGCACCTCAAACCCAAATACCTCCCGCAAATAACCCCCTACCCCAAACCCGAGTCTAACACCCGACAACACCCGATGCACACAACCCTTGACCCGAAACTCCCTAAGTGAAAAACTCTAAACCACATGAACTGTTCTAAGACCCTAAGATCCAAACCTTATATAAAACCCTTACTACAGCCTCAAAGCCTTTTATTATTTAAAATTAATTATTATTTAAAACCCCCCAACTCTCCCCGCGGGCACCTCGATGTTGTCGACGGTGCCCAGCGCGCGCCCAGCGGCGCACCACATGTTAGGAGAGCTCAAGGTCTTAGGGTTTGGGGTTTAGGGGGCTTTTGGTTGAGGGTTCACAGTTTAGGGTTCAAGCTTTAAGGGGTTTTTCAATTTAAGGGTCTAAGTACACAAGTACAGGGCTTCTTTACGGGTTCGTTGAATCAGGCTTGAATGGGGGGTTTAGGATTTCGGGCTTTAAGTTCTACAAGCCCTAAACCTTGCTACTAGAACTAAATCCCAATACTTAAGCCTTCAAAGGGGTCCTACCTATAATGCCTGAACCCTAAACCCCTGAAACCCTAAAACCTAAACCCTAATTGAAAACCCCTTAAACCCTTCTTTTTTGCTACTGGGCTTGGGGCTAGCCGGATCCTTAAACCCTGAACCCTGTACCCTAAACCGTGAACCCTCAACCAAAAGCCCCCTAAACACCAAACCCTAAGACCTTGAGCCCCAATAGACAGGGTCTGAAATCTGAATAATAACAATAACAACAACTACTACTACTACGATTATAATTACATAGAGTATCAGAATCTCCCCCAACTCAATCACAACAGTACTTTAGTTAGTGTACTTAGACCCTAAATTGAAAAACCTCTTAAACCCTGAACCCTGAACCCTAAACCGTGAACCCTCAACCAAAAGCCCCCTAAACCCCAAACCCTGAGACCTTGAGCCCCAATAGACAGCGTCTGAATAATAATAACAACAACAACTACTACAACTACGACCAATCTCGCAGTACTAATCTACGACGACTTGTTGCTTCTTCCTGCTATACTGCAACTACTACTGATGCTTATAATACTACTGTAGGGACTTGAACCAAGGCCGGGCAAAAAAAAACAAAAATAAAAAATGTCCGAAAGCAACACCTAGTAAACTTAAACCTGCGCATTGAACCCAAAGCGAAAGAGAACCCGTATACATACCTCAGAGAACCCTTGCAGACCCCGCAAACAGTAAACAGTGCAGAACCTCATCCTTCTACCCTGCGCCCACAACCCCAAAAATCGAACCGGATCCTAAACCTTTTTAATTATGGTAAGATATATACAAACCCCAAACGTTACCTACTCAGCTACTAAGAGAATGCGAAATCACAAAGACGTTCCAACCCCTAAACCCTGAACCCCCTAAACCCTAAACGCCACAAACCACAAAAAAGAATCTCCCAAAAGCACGCAGAGAGACTGCTGCACGCTCGGGTAGCTCATGGCCGTGGTGAATTCCTCAGTGCGCTGCTCAGGGTTTGGGGTTTGGGGGGTTTATAGCGTTTTATAGGGATTTTAGGGGGTGATGGCTATTGAAGGTCTTAGAGCGGTTTCAGAAGTGTGGGGGTGATGGGTTTTAGGGGCGATAGAGGGGCTCTGATTGTGAATGGTTTTGCAAGAGTTTAGGGGGGTCCCCAGAAGCTCCGATTTCGCTCCATGCACAATGCCCAATGAAGAAGCCCTATGATGCTTGCTTAAAGGCCCAGGGGACTTAGTAAGTAGGTTATATGTAGGGTCATAATTGGGGTAACTCCATTTAAGGTACTTATAACCCCAATTATAACCTACTTACTAAGTCCCATGATCCTCTAAGTATGATGCTTGAAACCATGTCTACGGCCAAACTCATCATGGGACTTTCCGAAAATAGGGGACCACAATATAGTACCCTGAATAGTAGTTCCTTATTATAAGGACACCAAAATAAGGTACCCCTCTTTTCGGAAACTCCCTCATGTCCCTGGCACAGAAGTTGCGGAGTTGGACCTCAGCAAAGCGTCGCTGAAGGAGATGGATTCGCTTCCATCGCCGTCAAGAGAACGGAAGAGTTCCTCGAACTTGCTCTGAAGGCCTCGGGACAAAGAAGCAGTTGCGAGCTTCCGAATATTAGGGGTAATTACCTTATTTTGGGGTCCTTTTAATAAGGATCCTACTATCCAGGGTACTAGTTTAGGGTCCCCTGTTTTCGGAAACTCCCCATTCGGCCCATGAAATAAACTCTTAGATACCGGGAGTGCTGAGGGATACTTAGTGAGGCTGCTTAAGGGTTTTCAGCCCTTTGGGTTCAGGCAGGCCGATGCTGCCCTGACCAAGAAAAGACTACCCCTAAAACCTAAACCCTCAAGACTCAAGTTTGAAAGGCTTCCAGATCTCCCGGGGCAGCGCAGACTCGCGATTACAGGTTGTCGGAATTGAAAATGACCAAGACTGCGGTTTGCTGAAGTAGGATCTGCACCCCGCAATACACAGCCAGAATCATGCTTTGCATGACTGTACAAAGCTGAAACATCGCCTGAGAACCCTTCCCCAATTCCATCGAACCTGATATCCTGTAACCCACCAAAACTACCCTAAAACCGAATCCCGGGGTGTCCTTGATTCCGGCTGGGCCTTGTCCACAATAGTCCCCAAAAGCCTATTCCAATCATTAAGGCCCCTATATAGCGCCCTTTAAAGGGAATCCGTAAAAGGAGCTCAAATCCAAAAATCTAAAGCCCAACTTCCCCGTGCCATCCTCGGGCCATCCGCTTCGTCTCCGCAAGCTGCAACGCAGCGTCGTTCGCTGCATTGGCCAATGTCTCCTTTCTCTACGGTTTAGGTTTGAGAGTTTAAAGTGTCGGGATCAAGGGTTTGGGGTGTAGGCGAAAGGGTTTAGAGGTTTCAGGGGCTTAGGTTTTGGGGCCTTGGGGTAGGGTGTGGGGTTAAGTTTAAGGGCTTTGGGCAAGGCTTAGAATCTCTAAGCCCATAGACAAACTAAGAAAGATGATATGCTACAGTAACCTAGGTGACGATTTCAACAGTCCCCAACATTAATTAGAATCAGGGCTCCACAGTCCACAAGGAGGAAAATAATAAAAACAAATTATCCCAGCCGATACTAGTAACAGACATAGCCAACATGCAAGAGGGTTCCTAATGTAGGAACCTGATTAAGAAACCTTGGGGTCAATGACCGCAAAATAGTAGGATTCGTATAAGGAACCCTAACCCTAATCAAAGGCCCAAGGTTTCCTCACCAGGTTCCTACATTAAGGGATCTTCAGGAGTTTTGACCGGGGTCTAGGACTAACGCGGGGGGAAAGACGACTCACCGTTCTGATGACTGGGGGGGGCTCAAACTCTGGTAAGGGTCGAAGGTTTAGGGTAGGGCCCCCCAAAAAGCACATAAGCAAACAAAATAGGTCGGATAGGGATATCCCATATAAACCCCCGTTACAATGAAGCCCAATATGGTCCGGACATCCCTATAAAATGCCTATGCTGATGTCCTTTTGGGGTCCCTGATAGGGTCTCTCCTGGTTTGGGGGTTTTGGGCTTAGGGTTTGGAGTTGTTTACGGTTGGCCTTGAGGAAGATGGCTGTCACGATCCTGGTCACGGCAAAGACCACGATCCTTGTGACCGAAGGCCCAATGGTAACTATTGTTGTTTTAAACCCCTTTTCTTGAACTTTCGTGTGTATGCCCACGTAGTCCCGTGATCAGCACCCATCCAACTTCCCAGACCCTGAATCCTAGTACCCCTTTCCGGCTAGCCTATGTTAACGGATATGATGGGAACCAGGTTACCCAAAAAGGAACTACAGTTGCGCATCTAGGAACCTTTGTAAAACCCCAAAAAAACACCGTGAACCTTTACGATTTGTCCAGGGCTTAGAGTTATACAACACCTCATGTACCTTTCGGTTCTGGTGAGCTGGCGACGGCAAAGTCACAGCTCCACGATCGCAAACTCAGGGCTGCAAGTGACACAGCCAGAAACCCCCACCCGGGGATGTGAAGTTCAGTGTGCGCAGGGTGTTACGCCATTGAGAGCGCAGACGCAACTCGACTGACCCGGGCCCCAAGCTGCAGGCCGTACATGCTGCAACCCCCACTTGTAAGAGCACCTCCAATATTCCTGTAAACACCACATGGACTTAACATGCCTGTGCACGGAACGCGAAACCCTAAACACCCTCAAACTGCAGGCCACGGGACGTGATATAGCATAAGAACGGAATGGCATACCAGTGGCTGACGTTGTCGACGACAGGTCGGACTCTGACAATCCATCCGCCGGAGAAGGTCAGTTCGAAAACGGTGTACCTGATGGATACCCCGCCCAAAAAAACAAAATGCAATGAAGCTAAGAATCGTACACCGAATTGAGTCTCTCTCTCTCTCTCTCTCTCTCTCTCTCTCTCTCCCTCTCGCTATATATATATATATATATATATGTACACATTTAATTATCACTGTATGCATGTGTACACACATGTATGCGCACACATATGTACAGATACACTGATATATACATATACATATACATACATATATACATGTACGTGTATGCGTATTCAACTGTGTAGACACATAAGTATGCGTACGCACACACACACACACATATATATATATATATATACACACGCCACGTAGGTATGCATGTATGCATGCATGTATGTATGTAACGTATGTAACTCGGAATGCAGTTATGAGCATGTGTAAATCTGAATCTGTGCACATATACATGTACATGTATATGTGTACAGAGGTACAGTTGCACAGGTGAAAAGACGTACACATGTACAGACTTAGACATGTACACATGTGCAGATGTATGGATGTATGTTCTGTATGGATTTACATACATGTGTGTATGGTGAATCGGATTCTTGGCAACCCTTGGCACGAGTATTTTGGCTTTGACGGTTTCGGTTGTAGAGGTATTGGGGTTTGTAGGCTATACTTGGCACGAGTGTCTTTGCTTAGATGTTTTGGTTGTGTAGCAGCAACGGAAGTTATTGATTTGGAAGTCGTTCCTTGCCGGTGCGGCGAAGCGACGGCTTCTTTCGGTTGCGTTGTAGTAGTGAGTTTCTTGGTGTTAATAGACTGCGCATTTTGCGTTCAAAGCGCTATCATTCACGAAATGGTCGGCACTATACTCAGCACGATTGCTTTGGATGGATGGTGAACAAAGGGGCTTGTATATGTCGTGATTAGAGAGGGATGGTATCTAGCAAATGCTAGAAAAGGATGTTACATTACGACGTAGCCCAAAGAAAACAGTGCAGAAATCTGTCGGGGGGGACCTGTGACCTGGTTTTCAATGGGTGTAGTATGGTTGTGTATTATAGATGCATAGATATAGATGCATAGGCATATATATATATATATATATATGTATATATATATGTGTATATATATATATATATATACATATGTATGTGTGTATGTAACTATCCATAGGCATAATGTACAGACCGTGTCTTCCGAAGTGCCTTTGTTTCTCAAGGTCAGGGTGTAAGTTTCAGGCAGTTGCGATTCAGGGTTGAGAAACGACTTTGTCAGCTCAGTCGAGCCGGGTATGGGCTTGTCGGAGTTCACAAGTATCAGTATCTGGCCAGGGACAACTTCTAGTCGAGAGAACAGCCTTGGATTTCAGATCCGAGACACAGCGCGCGGCCGAAACTGCCGTAGAGGACGCTTATCGCCCTTCGAGTCTCCAGATCGTGCTGCTCGTCCAAGATGTACTCCTTTCGGGTTTAGAAACTCATGATTTCATGCCCGCGTGTGTTCTCAACTACTAGCAAGTACTGTGCTACAAGAAGACTCGGACAAGCACGAGTACTGCGACTACTGCTACCACCACTGCTGCGTGCCAATATTGATTAGTGTTGTTGTAGTAGTAGTACAGACCACAAGTATGCATCACCAATACTACTACTACTGCTGCTGCTGCTACTACTACTACTACTACTACTGCTGCTGCTGCTACTACTACTACTACTACTACTACTACTACTTCTACTACTACTACTACCACCACTACTACTACTACTACGACGACGACTACTACTACTACTACGACTACTGTCTTCTGACGCTTTTGCTGCTGCTGCTGCTGCAGCACATGAATAGAACAGCCTGCCAGCAAGCATAAGATCGAGTTGGATTGACTGCGATAAGAATTGCTGTAAGAAAGGTCCGATGCGATCGAGTTTCCAGGTCTTTGGGCTTTTCCAAACAAAATCACCCAGTCAGTGATGAATCCCTAGACCTACGCACGCAAACGCCGAAATGGGAAAACCGCTAAAAACCCTTCCCTGAACCACGGAACCGGAGGTCTTGACGGCCTGGAGCGACTGGCAAATAATGATCGTGAAGCCCAGCTCCAGCAGCACCATCAAGACCAAGGACCAGAATCTCGGGTGGGTGCTATGGTTACAAGTATCAATCACTCATCGACTCAAAAGACTTAAAATTGTTCCTACATATTTTTAAAGATAGATGGAACGCTAGGACGATATAACGGCAGATCTGGAGATTGTGACATAGATAGTTAGCTTAGTTAGGACAGATGGATACATAGTTAGATGGATAGAAAAGATAGATGGACATGTGGAAGGGAATAGAACAGCACAGAACAGAGCATAATGGAACAGCATAGAACAGACTAGAATGACACATACGTAGATTGAGAGATTGATTTATAGATAGATCGACAGATCTGTCTGTCTATCTGCCCATCTATCTATCTGTCTATGTATAGATACACAGATAGGTGTATAGACAAACAGACGGATAGATAGATAGCTAGATAGAGATAAACAGACAGAGAGACAGACTGCCAGTTCACGTTCTAAACGCAGGTGCGAAGATGTGCAGCAACGAGCAGACAAACACACACGTAGCTCTGCCCTCAGGATTGTTTTCCCGATCATGGCTTCTGGAGGGAAAGAGAGGCGGAAAGTTAGAGCTCTGCAGTCGTATCTCCACACTGTGACCCCCCGGGGACTATTGCCTTGGCACGGAGTCGAGGCCGGAGTCTGAGTGGGCTTACTTGGGTGGTTGTCAAAATTAGGGTCCCTTTTTGGGTCCTGAATATATTACGGCACCTATGATTTAGGGTTATTATTTTGACAACTACCCACTTGTTTAGGGTTCGGGGGCTGGGGTGTCGCAACACGGAGGCCCGGAGCACATTCTGTAGTTCAATAGAGCCGGTCGCTCCTTAACACAATGGGGGGACGGGCGGGCCAAGAGCCTGTGGGTCGCAAGACGACCCTCATGCCCGGCAGAAAGAAAGAGAGAGAGAGGGAGGGAGGACAAAGAAAGACATAGAGAGAGTGAGAGAGCGAGCGAGAGAGAGAGAGAGAGAGAGAGAGAGAGCGAGGGAGGGAGAGAGAGAGGGAGAGGGAGGGAGAGAGAGAGGGGGGGAGCGAGAGGGAGAGAGAGAGCGGGTAATTAAGGGTGATCAGTATCCTATGCCAAAAAGCTTCTAAGGGCACCATCTGCTCTTGCATGCTGATGACCCGAACCACAACTGCTGACATAATTCCACCCGAGGTGCAAAGCACTCAGGGACGAGATGCACGCGCTGATTAAGACACGTAGCTGCCGAAACAAGTTCACCTCTGCAGCCGTTCAGGTCTGAGGATTCGTTTCTAGTCTTGGCCTTCAAAAACCGTCCTCATGGCTTCGGTGGTTGCAGCCCGAAACCCTTCTGAACCCTAAGCCGTGGACTGAACCCTGCAGAATGGACTTGGGCCATTGGGAAGTTCCGACTTCCGACATGATGTAGGAGCCTTGCTAATTTAGAATACGTGTTTTTTTTTTTTTTTTTTTTTTGGGGGGGGGGGGTCCTTGTTACAATTATAGCATCATATAGCCCAAAGCCCTCTTCGAATTATTGCAGAGTAAGGCCTTTATTCGACAAAGGCCTATTCGAATTGTTTTGGCCTCTACATTGTCATCTGTTCTGACACTTCCATCTCATCCGAAGCGACTCGGCAGCCATCGGGGCTGGCTAAGGGTAACGCACATACACACAACGGGCAATACTTATCATGCGACGGAAATCCGTACATGGAACCAACAGAAAAGCCGTTTCAAGAGGCACTCAGAACTGGTATGACGATGACCACGGTTCAGGTCGGTGTTTCTGACTTAATTACACTCTGCTCCAGGACGGGCTGCACATTGATTTCAGAAGACTAATAACTAATATAGGGGCCTCAATAATTGAAACAGGGTTTTGGGGTAGATTCTACCATAATTATGATAAGGAACCCCCCAAAACAGTAGAGGTAATCATTTAGGCCCTATATTACGCTCTAACGGGCTCTTTAAGTCTCTAAAACTCAACCCGCGGCTGCTCTCAACAAACGCAGAGTTTTTGGTTCCTTCGCGTATCCTGCGACAGGCTACATAATATGGGAAAGGAGGTGGGTCGGCTCCTGATCCTGAGGTACCATGATCAACAGTATTTCCAACCTACAAAGATGCTGAAATCTTCATCAATTTGCTCTTACCGGGCTATGCGGCTCGGTTTTGATGCGAAAAATCCGTAGCGAAATGGAGACGTCGAGGAACGTCGAGAACTTCTTGCTTCAGAACTTCAAGCAAGCAGCAGTCTTCATGATTCGAACGGTGAGCACCAGCCGCAACAGTTTCCAAATGCGAAGAGCACTAACCTGCTGCGATTCATGGAAAACCAACAGGGTGCGAGGGGCTGTGAGGTGAGCATATGGCGCAGAACGTGGGGTATTCACGGTGGGTTAAGATTCTCCAACATGATCTCTATTTTGCGCACCCGGACTCATACAAAAACAACTTCACAACCTTGCTCGGTATGGCTGCTTCGCGGGTTTGGGGCTTCGTGAATTATACCCTGACAGGACGGACATACATGAAAGAGGGAATCGGAGTCACAGTCGTGAATTATATAGGTTTGTGCGGCATACACGCTTCATGGATCTCGATCTCGTGCGTGGGGTCTTCAAGGCTCTGGCCTTGAAAAAGGTGACAGAAGGGCTTAATAGCTAGAAGTTTAGGGTTTAGGGTTTAGGGTTTAGGATTTAGGGTTTAGGGTTTAAGGGCTTAATAGCTAGAGTAGGACTTTTGGACACATTACGGCAAAATGACATAAAAAAATTCAAGTAGGGTACAGGGGGTTGAGTGGGAATGTGTTCAGGGCTGTGTGGGTAGTAGAGGGGCCTTTGTGAATGGTGGCTAAGAGGGTTTGGTGAATACTCTTCATGATCACTTTATCACCAGAAGACTCGGGACAAGAAGGCTGCGAGAGCATAGTACTAGTAATTCCTCCGATCCCTACCCTGAACCCGTAAACCCTAAACCCCTAAGCCCTAAACCCCTGAACCCCCAAACCCTACAGTCTTCTAAGGACGAGGCTCGAGGGTTCTCGCCGCAAGGCCTATATGTATACACATATGTATATATACATGTATGCTTACATGATATATACACACATGTGTGTGTGTGTGTGTGCGTAAATCTGTGTGTATATATATATATATATATATACACACCCATATACATATACATGTACACACACCTGCGCATACACATATACGTATACATATCAATGTGCATGCGCAGATACATACACAGGTACATATATGCATGCATGCATGTGTGTACGTGTGTGTGTGTGTAAGTGTGTATGTATGTAGGTATGTATGTATGTATGTCGGTGTACGTCTATCTGTATGTGTGTAATGCATAAATACAGATATATACATATATATACATAATATATATATATATATATGTATACATATGTTGCACCTGATCCTTAGTAGAGGAACCTGAACAGTTGTGTAGAAGCCCATCTCAGATTTGGAGTCATGAACCGCCAAGAACCATAAGAGACGAAGCACGAGCCCGGTGCATCTAAAGAAGGCACCGAATCTAATGAACCCTACACTTCCTCCCGATATCTCATGTTCAGACTCCTTACACCATCATAAGCCGTTAAACAGAAGCGCCTGTTGGTACGCACCGCCACTGCTTGCCAACCTCGGCACCCAGCAACTCAGCATTCAGGAGCTTTGGAGCTTCGGCGTTTAGCACTTTAGTATGTTTGGGCTGCGTCCCGCACTCAGAGCTACCAAGGCAGCCATAACTATGATGCCTGCTTGCTTCTGATACTGCCTACTTGTCGGGTATCATGGGGAACTAAAGGCTAACCTTTTTGGGTATATAGGGATTATATAGGGACTATACTACCCAACAAAAGGTTAAAAGTTACCTACTCTACTACTAGGACTGAGTGGCTGTATATGTTTACATGTTTCATAGCCGCACGATCAGCTCCTCCTGAATCCCAACGTCGAATCTGTCTGGCAATCTGTACCCTTGAATTTTCGGCATACACTGAAAGGCCTCAGCCTCGAAAAGCGCAAACTCTGGTCGAAAACCTTATAATATAGAGGCCTCAATAATTGGAATAGGGTTCAGGAGCACCCAAAATATTGTTGGTAATTACTGAGGCCACTACATCAGGTAAAGCCCCGGCGCACTCGGCCCCATCCCTGGATACCCGTTAGGATTGCTAGCACAGGTGCGAGCTGAACCCTCCGAACAAAAGCCAAGCTTCTGGCACCCACATTTCAACAAACGCCCAGCATGCGACGTAGAGTCCAAAAGGGATCCCGCAAGGCCAGATACCAACATGGTATATACTTTGTCCCAGAACAAACTCTCAAAGGTATATGGGAGTTTCCAAAAACAGGGGACCCTAACATAGTAATTACCCCATCACTAGGATCCTTCTAAGTACCCCAAACTAAGGTGCCCGTAATTTTCGGAAACTCCCATATCTTGCAGGCATCCTGTGACCCCTCATACCCACACCTGCAAGTGCGAAGGCCGCCCCGCCCTGAATCCTAACCCAAAGGCCTCATAGTAGTTCTGTTTTGGGGTTCATATTCAGAATTCTATAAGGTAATCTCGAAAAGGAACCACTATGGGGCCTATGGGTAAGCTCCCCCGCGATTGAAATTCCACCGCTGCAGGGTTGAAAAACTTCTGAGTTTTTAGGGTCTCTTGAAGCCCTATACGGCGGAAAACCCTAACACCGCTGAACCCTGAAACCCCAACAAACCTTCGAGCCCAGACTGAGCAAACTGAGAGCCCCACACGATCTCAAGCACGTGAATCAGCACAAGGATGAGATCGAAGACATTCGTAAACCTTCAGATCACAGCTGTGCTTGTAGCCTAGATATGGTACGATAGCCTTAAATATGGATGCCTAGGGTTTTACATGGGCCTTATTTACGTTTACAACTGCCCCGACATCTTACCTTAAGGGCTCAACAACCGTAATAACCATAGACTCCACCACCCCCCCCAACGATGACTACTACCCTAAAGGCAAGCACCACACTACTGGGTCCTTGAACTTGCTGGCTTACCATTACCTAGACTTTCGACTATATAGTTGCCCCCTAGTAACCCTAGTAGTAAGGGTACAGGGACTGTCCTGGTAAGGTAGCAAAACGATGCTGATCAAGGAGGCCAGCATGAATCCGTCCACCTCATCGTAGAGCCACTCCCTCCTGAGCACCACCATGCGCACGAGGACATCCAGCACGTAGATGGAGCCTTGGACTGTAGTCCACATTATGTTGGTCGGCGTCTCTTTGGGGGTGTCGTGGGTGGGGGGTAGCGGCTTCTGTGCTTCTAACAAGTTGGAGCCATGATCCGGGACGGAATGTGTAACCTGAAGTAGGCAACGTTGTTGCAGATCCTGCACACTTGCGGAACACCACAACCCCAAGCAGGGTCACGGTTTCAGCGCTTAGAGGAACAAACACACACACACACACACACATATATATATATATATATATATATATATATATATATACACATTTTATATGTATGTATACATATGTATATATACATACATACACACGTATTATATGTGTACTAACAAACGAAACATACGTATTGAAATATGCTACCTCATAACCGGGAGGGGATACCACATATGAATACATATACATATACACACACATTATATGCATACACCTATCTGTATAATCTACATATGCATATGTATAATGGTGTCTTGTAAGCTCTTTTTGGCTGCGAGTTTAATCTGTACGGGCCCTTGGATGCCTCGGACGTTACGATGCGGCCTGACAGAGCTTGGGGTTTGGGGGTTCGGGCTTTCTGGGTTGAGCATCGAAGGTACGACTTGGGTTCAACCCCCAAAGCACCACTGTGGAATTCAAAAAAAAGTAGCCGACACGCAGACAACCTGAAAACGCCTTCATGTCGCACCCAAGCGGCAAAAAAACACGTCCACGGCCAGGAAGAGATCCGCCGTCAGGAAAGTGGAATCCAGCGCCCGGGGCTCTGCAAGCCCGAGACTTACGTCGGCTTGATAGCCCACCTAGGAGGCTGTTGTTTCGGGTCCCTGGCTTAGGGTTTCGGGATGAAACTTTGACGTACAGATCCACCCGAGCACGAATCAACATGGCCCTTCAACAGCGGCGGTATCTCTGCATAATGCTCTTCTTGTCATTTTGCTGCCAGGCCGTGGCACCGACAAGCCTGCTATATGCAATGACAGCAAGGCGAAAGACCATGGCCCAAGAACGGTTATCCTAAGCCTGGTTGCGGCTTATAGGAGCAACCCAACGGACGTCTTCAACATCCACCAGCAACTCTACGGACAAAACCCCTCAACCCTAAAAAACCTGAAGCCCTAAACCCCACAGGGAGATCGGAAAACCCCTCAACCCTAAACTCAAACCCCTAATTAAAAACCCCTGTAGGGAGATCGGAACATTTGGAAAGGCCAGAGCTTGAGCACTCTCGTGACACGGGCCTGGATTTTTGCTTATACTGTTAGCAGAAGGATATTGAACTCGGGAATTTAAGGTTCAGGGTTCAAGTTTAATCTAGGGGGTTTGTAATTGAAATAGGGTTCCGGGGTACAAGATCTAGGCACGTTAGGGAATACAAGGGAAGAATACTGATAGTTGTTTCGATGTCGAAAGTAAGCTTTTGAGGGCTAAGACGCCAGGCCTTGTCGTTGTAAATTCTCTCCAAACCCAAGAAGCCTCACAAAATGGCCAAGCACGCAAACTCAAATCAAGACGCCGCCGCAGGACTCGAATAACACTGCTAAGAACACTTTAACCCGTAACCCTTAGAGCCTGAAGAATAAACACCCCAAGACCGTGAAATCTACCGGGCCCTTGACCCTAAGTTTTGCCGAGTAGCTTCTTGGGTCCATGCGGCCATGCAGACGAAGTTCAAGACGACCACGACGGCGACGCAAACATCCAAGGGACCCTTTTGAGGGCTTCAGGTCGTTGGATATATTCGTTTGGCTTATGCTATATGATTTCAGATATTCTGTTTTGGCGTTGAAGGGTTTTGGGTTGTGCAGGGCCTGTATTCGTTTAGTGCTCGGGGCTTAGGGTTGTTTGGGGTTTTGCAGGCTTCCGAGTTTTAGGGTTTTGGGCCTTGGGGGACGATGGTTTAGAAGGTTCATGATTTGGCGTTTTAAGGCTCATGGCATTTTGGGGTTGAGGGGCTGTGTGTGTGCTAGCGTTTCGGGATTTGCAGGGCTTGGAGCAAGGTTTAATTGATGGCCATTGAGTTTAAAGGTCTGTGTGGTTGGATTGTGGGCACCTAAGCACGTGGAAGTGCCCGAGGAGCATTGTTTCGTTGAGTGTGATTGTGTGATTGTGTGAGTGTGTGCGTGTGTGTGAGAGTGTGACAGTGTGTGTGGGGTGTGTGTGTGTGTGTGTGTGTGTGTGTGTGTGTGTGTGTCTGTGTCTGTGTCTGTGTCTGTGTGTGTGTCTGTGTGTGTGTGTGTGTCTGTGTGTGTGTGTCTGTGTCTGTGTCTGTGTCTGTGTCTGTGTCTGTGTGTGTGTCTGTGTCTGTGTCTGTGTCTGTGTGTCTGTGTCTGTGTGTCTGTGTGTCTGTGTGTCTGTGTGTCTGTGAGTCTGTGTGTCTGTGTGTCTGTGTGTCTGTGTGTCTGTGTCTGTGTGTGTGTGTGTGCATGTGGGTGGGCATATTTGTGTGCGCGTGGGGAGTTCTGCATATGCATATATACCAATGACCCATAAATGTAATGTAGTAACAGACTGATAGTTTTAGATAGGTGATAGGTAGGGCGTTAGGTAAGTAGATAGATATGATATATATATATATATATATATGTATATATATATATATATATTTTTTTATTTATTTATTTATAGAGAGAGAGAGAGAGAGAGAGAGAGAGAGAGACAGAGAGAGAGACAGAGAGAGAGAGACAGAAGGAGTGTTGATCTCTACCAGAACTCTGTGTGCACGCGTATGAACACAAACAAATAGCAAGTGATTTTCGAGGAACGGTACTTCACGCTTTGAAAGCCTCTTGGGTCAAGAGTTGCTTTAGGGCCTCTTCGGGGTTGATGCTTCCCCTTGGGTCAAGATATGCGTTAGGGCATTTAAATAATTTGGGGTGGATGCTTTCGCTTCGTTGTGGGACAAGGCCTCGAATTGTACCCCTGAAATATGGCCCTTGCTGGGAACCTTAGCGTAAAAGAACAAGGCAGATGTGGCGTGGCAGTTCTTGGGTTGTTTTACGAGGAGTTTAGATTCGAGGTGACCCGTTGGTTACCGATTCTCCGATCGTGTTGTGGGGCGGAAGCCTCAAGAGTCATCAGTCCCTATGTGCTTAATATAGTTATAAGGTTCTCGAACATATTGCAGTATCATCATATATGGGATATGAGGGGATACTCTGACTAGTTATTCAAACCTCGGATGTGCACCTTCACCCACTCTCGGTATCGCGAGGCGTCCTCCACCTCCGACATGTCTGTCAGGACATGCTTCCTCGGCTTGTAGCTGAGGGTCTCCGATGTGGGGCAGCTATATGTCAGACAATGAAGCTCGCACGATTTCATGCTAATGGCCAGGCGCAGCAAGCCCGAAATCTGGAACCGTACTACGCAAGGGATACCTCACAACCACACGAAAGCTTAAACCCAAAGGGTGTGCCCTCATGTCGTCGTGAGGACAGTGGTTGAGGGCAATCGCATCCGATCGGGCGCTGACTGCCATCTGGCACCCGCACCCTGTTTCATGACCATGCCAGGAAACGCGATCCAAATAACAAGTAAGCAAGTCTGTCCAGTGGACAGGAGTTACGAGGACAAACTTATCTGCAAGCAACACAACTTCCAAAGCTGGCGCCTTTCTAGGTCGACGAAACCCTCTGGTTTGACCCAAAGTACCAAAACTTGAAGGTTTAATTAGGGTTTAAGCAAGCCCTGAAACAAAAACGAGAACGTCTCCTGCTCAGCTGCTCAAGCTTTGTCGCATGGCGGTGGCTGGTGGTGCTTCTCTGGCTATCAAGACCTTTCCCAGTGTCTTTGCCGCCATCTTCCACCTCCGGGGTTCAGGTGATCGGAGGCCAAAAGGGGGGTTTAAGATTCTTGGGGTAAGGGTTCCTTAACATGAAGCCTATTAAGAGGAACCCGAATCCCTACCAAACCCCCATAGGCTAAAACCCCTTTTGGCCTCCTATGATGTCAGGGTTTAAGGGACCGTGTCCTACGTCCTACGGTCGCAGTATGGCAGGAAGCCTACAGCTCAGCGGCAACCCCTGCATGCTGCTGTCAATGCTCGAGCCTCGACAATCAATCCTAAACGCTAAACCCCTAAACCCTAAACCCCTAAACCCTAGACCCTAAACCCCTAAACCCTAAACCCCTAAACCCTATAAGTTGTTGCTGCTGTCTGGTCCCTGGACCCTAGTCGCGGCCAGGGACCCTCGACCGGAACCCCAGCAAACTAAGGGTTTTCCTGACCCTGCAAAAAATGACCGACAGACAAGTGTGGTTTAGACACCCCCACCCCCTTTACCAACAACAAAAAACTCACCCTTCTGGGGCATGGGAACATCAACCAACAAGCATCTGAGATTGTAAATGTTGCAACTGGTCGTGCATGACTGCTACGGTTGGTGACTTTGTTGTTGGTGATAACCGTCGTCGTCAAGATCATCAGTGTCGGAAATGCCACGCGCAAGCCGCCCGTGTGCATATTGAGACGGATACAACACATGTGACATTGCCCAGCAGCAGTGTGATCTTCAGCAACTGTTGGCGTTAAGTCTCTGTTAAATCGAGCCCTCGTCTTTTCCCCGTTTGGGGAAATTTAAATTCCACAACATCCCTGCTCGCTCCCGAGAGATTCCGCCCCTGTTCTGTGCTGCCCAAAGCATCGAATGTTTTAATCCATCGGTTTCAGTACATTTGACCTTCCCCGCTTCAAGCTGCATGGGCACAAACTTCAAACGCATCGCCCATTAACGCACGTCCTACCCTGTTTTCTTGGGGCCTCAAAGGGTGATGCCTATGCTCTGACACTGGGCCAACTCGGAACAATCACAGTTGATGGCTTCGGCTCCGATCGAAGAGCCCGATGAAGATTCAAATAAACCCCACACACATTGTTACTGCTTCATAAGCTTCTTTCTCTGAAGAAGCACCTACAGCCACAGAACTGATAAGCCATGAAAGGATAGGCCAACAATACCCTGGGTTCATGTCTGACGTGTTAAAGGGAACTCCAGAAAGTTGGAATATGGTTTCAGGCTAGGATACCTTATAATTTACCAGAAAGGGCTTAGGATAATCATATTCCAACTTTCTGGCTTTTACTTTAGAAGTGCAGACAGCTCCTTGACGGTCGTCTCCAGTGGCGCTTCCGCGGCGACGTCCTGCTTCGGCACCCCTTCTCCAGGAGCAGCGTCCATCGCAACCATTTGTTCGAGCCTCTGCTGAATCCAACAACAGTCGGTTCAAACATGTTTTATGCTTAAATCCCCAAACTCTACGCACAAAAGTCTCACAGTGCGCTAAATAGAAAAGGGCTCAACCGAATGAAGGGGTGTGGACAATGAGAATAGGATTTGCGGGTATAGCATTCAGGACCATAAAAGGGCTTCATCACTAATATAGGGGCCTTAACAAGTACCTATACACTATTGCGGTGGTTCCTTACTATAACTATAGTAATATAAAATGCACCAAAACCCTATTCTAATGATTAAGGCCCCTATGTTACGTATCTAGACCTCGATATCAAGCCAGCAGCCCCGGGTCGACGGCCGCTGCACCAGAGGGCCCCGGGCACCGAAGCAGCTGGAGATGGTCGTCCAGCAGTTTTCGGATCACGGCCTGAAGGTTTAGGGTCCTTTTTTTAAAGTTAGGTTGACGGTCTAGGGTCTAGGGTTTAGGGGTTTAGGGGTTTAGGGTTTACCCCTCCCCCTTCAGGGAGACCCCCTTAAAGGGGGACTGAAAGGGAGCTTAAGGGAGGCTTTAGGGGGCTTCAAGGGGACTTAAAGGGTGTTGAAGCTGAGCGGATAATCTTCGGGTGCTCGTGAGTTGCTCGCGATCTCATGCCCCGTGTCTTGGAGAACTATGTACAAAGCAACCAAACTTGTTGAGACAGCCTTATGCTCTCATCACCACGAGGGGGATTCCGAAAATAGGGGACCCGAAACTAGGACCCTAAATAGTAGGATCCTTCTTATAAGGACTCCCAAATCAAGTACCCCCAATTTTTCGGAAACTCCCAAGCCCTACAGATCCCTCAAAAGGAACCCCCAAAGGATCCCTCTTCTTTTCGTCAACAACCGACCCCAACCGTTCGACCCAACCCTAAACCCTAAACCCTAGACCCTAAATCCTAAACCCCAGACCCTAAACCCTAAACCCGACCCTAGACCCTGAACCCTAAACCCTAGACCCTGTTCCCGACCCGCCGTGGCCTCCTGCTGCTCAAACCGCTGCTCCAGGGCCGAGAGGAACCACTCCCTTATTGGGAGTTTCCGAAAATTAGGGGCTCCTTTAAAGGGATCACTAAGGGCTCCTTTAAGGGTTCCTATAAGGGATCTATGGCCCTATAAGGGCTTAGAGTTGCCGAAAATTAGGGGTCCTTTAAAATTCAAGGCTTACAAAAAGCGTACTATAAGGGTTCCTTTAGAGGGCTCTATAAGGGCTTAGAGTTTCCGCGAATTAGGGGTGCCTTAAGGTTCCTTGGAATTAAAGGGTTACAAAAAGGGCACTGTAAGGGTTCCTTTCAACTGGGCTTTTGAGTAACCAGGGAGAAAAAGTATAAACTTTTATTTCATAATAGTTTCTTTCAGACAAAAAGTATTAAAGTATGGCACTCCCAAGCCCGGTCAAGGGCTCTATAAGGGCTTAGAGTTTCCGAACATTGGGAGTACTTTATTTGGCGGTCCTGATAAAATACAGAATAGGACGTGACGGCGTCCCAGACTCCAGAAATAAGGCTCCCACAATTTAGGGTACTAGATTAGGGCGCCCAATTTTCGGAAACTCCCTTTTCAACAACGACATGCCCGGTAGGACTGTGAAACTACATATTTAGGGTTTAGGGTTTTAGTATCAATATAGGCCAAGACTGTCGGTTTCTTTTGATTGAGGCTATATAGTATCATTATAGGCTTCAGGTATCAATGGTCTTCTGCTGCCATTCGTCGAAGGGGCTCCGTAGGCCCGGCTTGGCCACAGCGTGTGTGTGCTCTACAACTCTGGAAGCGGCTGACCTATACTGAAATTAGAACCCTAGCAAAAATTGTAATTTTACCTGTTTCTTAGGGATTATAAAAACCAAAGATTAAAAACTATTTTTAAGTACCCCTAAGTGATGGCAACCACGGCGAAGCTTTGCATCTGTCCTGGCGACTCGACCCTTTAAGCCGCTGTCTACCTAGAGTCTCCATTGTAGTTCCTTTTGGGGGTTACCTTTTAGGATCCTTAAGATAAAACTGGTTGAACAAAAAAGGAATTACGATGGAGACTACAGGTAATGTATCCAGAAACCTAGAGTTAAACATGGACGACTGACTATAAAGGGCCGCAGGTTAGGCCCGCACGCGCCGATCGTGACCGTAAGGGATTGTGGTCGAGATATGATAAGGGTCGCCCATATGTTACCGCTTCGATATTGCCACTTTGAATGGGTGCGGCTCTTGGGTAAACCTCGAGAAACCTTTCAGAGTGCCCGGGCTTCCTTCTATGTAGAAGCTCATATGCATGAAATCGGATTTGTTGTTGTCTGGTGCTCCCTTTAACGCTACCTCGATCAGAGCGTTACATAAAACCTCCGACCTCACCCCCCTTCCTCCAAAAAAACCCAGTGACCGAGAACGCGACCCTGATCCAAGAAGCTAAAGCCAAAACCCCGAATCTAAAAACCTAAAACAACCTAAACCACGAAGCCGCAGACGCCCCACTCCGAAGATGAAGATGCAGGACTTGAATATTCGGCTTCACGGCCTAAGGGCTTGTTCCGAAAACCTACGAACATAACCTAAAACCCCCGCCCCAACTCAAACCCTTTCAAGGTCGCAGGCACCGCGGATCCGCCAAGGCATTTTCGGCACAATCAGTCGGCATGGCGTGAGCAGCCGGGATGGGTTTCAACACCCAAAACCCACCGAAAGCAGAAGATCGAGCAGCTGCCTTCCGATTTACTTTAAAGGGCTTTATGCTCCAAGGGCCTGACGTTAGAGTTTGCGATCAGGGCTTGTAGAGTTTATAGGCTTAGTGGCTTCCCCCCCATATTCGACCGACATTTATGAATCCTCAAGCCTTTACCTATAAACCTTGAACCCTGAACCAAAACCCTCAAACCCTGGACACGAAGCCTTGAACCCTTACCCGTAGTTCAACCCTCAACCCTATGGTATGAAACTTCAAACTACCTGTCAGGTTTCAACGATTCTGCGCTTGAGCCACGCCATCGATCGTTTTGGGCTGAAGCCTAGCGTGCTTGGGGTGTGAAGTGAGAGACATTTCTGTTTGGGGCTGGGTGGCGTACTTGTGCTGTCCATTGCAGTCTAGATTCTTGCTGCCGTCGTTGATTGCTTCGGAATCCTGGCTACGAGATGGATCGCCAGGAAAAGGACGCTCATTACAGGGCCGAGGTGTCGTATGAGGGAAGGAAACCCGCCAAGGCTCACCCAGGTAATACCGAAGCCTGCATACGCAACGAATCTGTTCCATAGGGCTCCTTACTATGTTTATAATTTATACTATACTATTATCCCAGACCGGTAAACCTGTTCTCATCCATGGAGAGTGCCCTGCGATGAATCCCTAAGATTTAGGGCCTGCGAGATCACCGCCTTGTTGGACTGGTTTAGGGGTTCAAGGCTTACAGCTTAGGGTTCAGAGTATAGGGTCAAAGGGATTGGGGCTTAGCCTTTACGGTTACCCTGCACTTCAGCCCGCTAAGCCCTACGTCCCCTAACAAGGACGAATGCAATCTTTGGGGAAAGGACTGAACAGGCGACGATGGCCAACGAAGGAACGCAAAATTTCTACAAGTGCGGGTATGGGGATCATCAATCCAACACCCTCAACCACAAACCCTTAGAGGGTTTAGGGTGAGGATGTCATGATACCGAGGGACGCACGTTCGGCCCAGGACGGCATTCACTTCAGACTGCATCTGATCGCCGACCTTTCAATGAGTAACCCTAGGGCTCCAGTTACCTAAATCGTGGGTTACCGGGTATATAGTGTATGGTTCGTAAGTAACCTGCTATTTATGTCACTGGAGCCCTAGGTTAAGACCACGAGCCCAAGGAAACTAAGAAACCGCAAGTACATTACGGCACATACCCCAAATTTAAGAGGTGTTTATAATGGGTCTTCCACACTGGCTGTAATACTGTGGACTTGTAAGTTCAGGGATGTGTAGGGTTTAGAAGGCAAAAGGAAGCCACTGAGATTGTGAATCGGGGTGATCGAGACGGTGCAAAACAGATGGCTTCTAACGCTCGCAACGCCGAAGAACCGCCGGACTGCTGCGCCTGCTTCCTCTGATCCCAGAGCTGGTAGGCCTCGTAATCAGCAGCTACCTTGCGCAAACTCACGATGACCCCTGCTTGGTAGTTTCCGAAAATGATCCTAATATAGTACCCTGAATAGTAGGATCCTTATTAGAAGGACCTCAACATAAGGTGGCCCTAATTTTCTGAAACTCTTCTTTTTTGCCCACCCTGCATGCTGCTTTTTTGTCCTGGCCCAGGCCCTGCCATCCAAAGAAAGCATACTATGAACCAGGCCGCTTCCTGCACACAAGACCCTTGATACTTAAAACCCAGCTTGCAAACTCGAACACGAAAACACCCTACACCCCAGTGCTGATAGCAAGACAACATACATTGAGGCTCAAATGAAGCTATACAGGATATGATCTGTATCTGGGAATGTAAACACTTGTACACATACTACCATAATACATGCACATATTTCTACATGTCAATGTAAGTCACAGCAACAGGCAAATTTCGCCACGCAGCAGGCAACTTTCGGAGGCTTCAGGGTCGCCCCTACTAGCTCCCTGAAGGTCGGCGAGCCGCAGACTGTAGACAACAAGTTGAATGCCCGGGAAGACTTGAAGGTCAACGACGCAATAACCCACATCGTTTACCCATGTTTACCCAATGCAAGTTGAGCCTGAGGGTTGATGGTTTGAGAAACCGGGCAAATTGACAAGAAAAACAGCAGCATGAGAAGAATACCCACGCTACTACTACTACTACTACTACTACTACTACTACTACTACTACTACTACTACTACTACTACTACTACTACTACTACTACTACTACTACTGTATACTATTCGTATGTATTTGTTAATGATTACTGAGAATACTCAGCTCTAGCTTCAGTGCCCAGTCGTATCAACCTGACAATCCTCGCCCCTGAAATGCGTGAAATTCTCCAGATCCGAGGAGCCAGGCGGCAGCTGCCGACAAACACAAGCACAACTGCACTCAAAGGATCATGGGATTTAGTAATTACGGTTATAATTCAGGTAACTATAAGCCGTAAACCCAATCAAGGTACTTATAACCATACTTACTAAGTCCCATGATCCTCCAAGTACCTCCAAACCAGGACCCTCCAAGGGCCCTTTCATAGCGCCCTTATGGTCTTTAATAGTGCTATTTGGTGCGCAATTCGGGGTAGCTGGGGGTCTAGGACATTACCTTACTAAACCCACAAACCTTACACCTAATACCCCAAATTTTTGGACGCTTGTAAGCACTTAAACCCTGCAGGCAAAAGAAGTGGGAACCCAGCCCCGAGGGCGGCCTTGATCAGGGTGTCCCGAATGGTACTGACGAAGAAATCCTAGGGTTTAGGGTTTAGGGTTTAGGGCTGACGAAGAAATCCTATCAGAAAATGGGTTAAGAGGTTTAGGTTTGGGGCAAGTTTAGGGTTTAGGAGTGTAGGGTTAGGTGTCTAGGATCTGAGGTTAAGGGTTCAGGGTCTTGGGTCTGGGGCTTTAGGGCTTTAGGGTTTGCGGCCATCGGGCTTCGAAAGATTTGAGCCATTTCTGACGCACAGAGGCACCCTAAACCCTCAACAAAGAACTCCGCAATCCGAAAAGGATTGCATCCCAAACCTCAAAGCCGTCAACCCTACACCCCTGTAATCTTGAATGCTTAGCCAATCACCCCCCCAGGACTTCATGTCTTCCAATGTATCAGAGCTTTGAGGTAGAGTTTCGACGTTTTCAGCACGCGTAAAGTTTCATGGATCAGGGCACTTTACGCCCGCGAAGGCCCGAACCGAAACCACACCGCTAAGAAGGTCTGTGGGGCTCCGACCAACCCGAGATAAAGCGTCCGCAACTTTCCGTTTCTCTCGGCTTCGAAACACCTAAATGCGCCCCGCTTGCTTGGGTTTTCTACGAGGATGGGGGCTGAAGCAAGAGCTTTTGAGGGGATTGCCTGACCCTAAAATGCAGTCAGCTTATTGTTTGTTACCTTCCTTCCATGCTCTACGACCGAGACAACAATGACTTGTACAGTGCGTTAACTGGCAAAAGGACCTACATCGGAAGGTCTAGGTAGAAGTAGAGTTGAGGCGTAGGTGGCGATCCACGATGCAAGTGCATCACGCCGACGCACGAACCCAACTTCTAGCTAGACCCAGCGCCGTTGTGAAAAAACAGCACGTGTGATGCCCTTTGAAACTCGAGTTGTTCCTGAATCCTAAACCTGGAAGGTGGCGAACCCTGGTCCCTCTTTGGGTCCATATTATATTACGGCACCTAATATTTAGGGTACCCAAAAAGGGACCCTACTTTTGACAACTAGCAACACACTGAAAGTTGAACCATTTCTTGCCCTTGCCGCCTGGAAGTCCACATTGAACTCCGTGTAGAGCTTGCCCACCTCCAGGATCCCCCATGGGCCCTTTAATAGAGCCCTTATGGCCCGTAACAATGGGTATTTGGGGTACTTTAGAGGGCAGTTTGGGGGGTCTGGGCTCATGTTGGAATTGCTAGGAATCGGGCCCTCTGACGTGTAGCGTTGAGGGGTCCTTTTGTACTTGAAGTGTCAAAAGCCTGAAAGGTAGCGCTTGATCTCTACTCCAAGCTTGAGCTGGGTAGGTGTTGGGCAAATGCCCGATTGTCCACAACATGAAACCAGGTCCACAAACCTGCAAGCATGTTTTAGCTCTTCTTGGCCTCTCTTCTCATTCGAATATGTGTAGATGATACTGTAGATGTATATGTTTATGTAGCATGTGCAAGTATATTATGTATATGCACACATACTTACATACATAATTACATGCATGCATACATACATACATGCATCCATACATAGTTCTTATTTAAATAGCTGTATTTCCTGCTCTCTGTCTCTTTCACGATGCAGCAATGCAACTCCCTTCAACATAGGAACCCCCAAACCTGGAAGCTCTGAGCCCTACGAACAATCGCATTTCTGCCTGCAGCTCCAACGCCTGCAACTTTTGAAGCCTCTATTTCCAGGTTCATGGGTAGTTTTTCAACCGGGGTTATAAATCCCCAAATACAGATGGACTAGAACAGGGATATCGGGGATAGTAAAGTACAGCTATGTTAAGAAACCCTAAGCATTAACGTTGGCAGTTATGCAGGCCTCCATATGGTCTGAGCCCGAAATAACGTCCTGTTACTTTTTTGGGGCCCAAACTAGGCCATGACCCGTTGAGGGCAGTTGAGACAGACGTCTAGTATACTGTTGAACCACTGAAGTTTACGAGTTACTGCCAGGACCAATCATCCCCTCCAAAACCCCATAAGGCCCTACTTGCAGTGACCCTTGCAGCAGCCCTTGCATAACAAGCCCTAAACCCTGAACCCTCACCGTGCTTGAAACTACGAATGAACCTTTAGGGCAATACCTCGGCCAATCGGAGGCGGTACTGCAGGGATACCTGTTCAATAGTGCTTTGTGGTTTTAATTCAGCAGTTGAGGGGCATAGGGACGTATGTGGGGCTCAGGATCATTTTCGGCAGGCCTTTCGTGGTTTGCGAGTTTGCGGTGAGCATCGAGGGTGCGCAGGTTTCAGACGTAGGATTTTGGGCCACTGGTATTCTCC